TTTAAGCTTGAATGATTCTCTGGATTTTTGCTCATTTGAAAAGCTATAATTTTTAAGCTATAGTTTTTAACAATTAAATCCCAATTTGTACTTCATAGAGTTCCAATTTTTGCTCAATTTTTTTGAGTGTATCATAAACAAAAAATCGCACAATCTTCTCGTACAATTCGGAATTTATAGATACTCGTGACGTTTTGAAAGTTCTCAAATTGGACTCGCCTTTTTACTCGGGCTTCCGCAGGAACCCGAGTCTAAAAATGCAGGCCGTTCTTTTTCGTCGTATCAAGGGCGCTAGGGCAAAAATTGGTGGTTTTTTAGCCGTTAGACTCCAATATATTGGTGTTTTTTTTAGCCGTTAGAAACTGTTTAAACTGTTACTGACCGCTTACGTAAGCGTACGCGTCGGTTAATAAATTAATAAGTTAATCCAAATCCCCTGAATAATTGGATTAACTTATTAACCGACGCGTACGCTTACGTAAGCTGTCACRAGGCAAGTATAGGATACAGTACTAGTAGTTCGTTACGTACGATTAAACCGTTGGTCACAGCAGTATTTTTGGCACATAACGGAACAGATATAAGCAGTTTATAGCAGTTTCTAACGGCTAAAAAAACACCAATATAAAGGAGTCTAACGGCTAAAAAACCACCAATTTTTGCCCTAGCGCCCTTGGTAGACTCTTCCGCAGTCTCTCGCTCGTCCGTTCCGTCTCCACGCTTAGAGACTGTGACGGTACAATGACCGAAAGGACTTATGGGTCCCGAAAACTTGGACCCACCGTGCTTTGGGAATCAAAATACTCGAGAGACTGTGGACGAGTATTTTGGTTCCCAAAGCACGKTGGGTCCAAGTTTTCGGGACCCATAAGTCCTTTCGGTTATTGTACCGTTACAGTCTCTAAGCGTGGAGACGGAACGGACGAGCGAGAGACTGTGGAAGAGTCTAGCGCCCTTGGTCGCCAAAATGGGGGTCATTATCCCAGGCGTTCCTAGCTGAAGTGGCTGGGAGCTGGGGATGAGAATCTCCTGCTTCCTTCGTTCCTTTTGCTAGGCCCACACTAAAAGATGTAGAGCTTTCTCGGAACGGGTCGGTCCACGAATCTTATAGCTTGAAGGCGTTGAAATCTTTGAAAACATGTAAGCTTACTAGCCAAATTCATACTAGTTCTCACGAGGTAACAAATGAGCTATATTCGAGAGCACAAACCTCGAAAGGACTGCCAAAACTATGACTA